GGTTTCAAAATGTTTGCAAATGGTTTTAATTCCCGGGATCCATGTAAGTAGAGAGTGCAACACTGTTCCTTGCAGCCGAGGGAGAGGTCCTCTTTTGTCGGGCAGTGCTTGATCATTATGGGCTGAGAGGTTGAGTGTAAGGCCATTTGGGATAATACCTGATGGGCTACTAATCTTGCATCTGCCCACAGTCCCTGGGCTTTTATAAGATGGCTTGGCTCAAGGACCACTTAGTGTAAGTGTTGGGCCCATAGGGTCCATGTGATGGGCTCAAGGGGTTCACTAGGCTTTCCAGTGAATTCGGCTAGGCCTTGTAACAGAGGCTGGGCCAAACCCATGTGGCTGGTGTGTAGATCAATGCTTGGGTCCCTCGCCATACAAAGAATCCCAATTGGGCAGCAATTTGGAAGACTATTGAGCACTTGATTCATATTGGGCCTAAAGCCCATTTCGATCTGGGCTGATTTGATCAGTCATTTGAGGGGGCGGATCTGAGATTAGGTTAAGCCCAAAAGTCGATCTAATCTGCAGATAAGATTAAGAAGAGTCCTAATCCAAATACAGATTTGGATCAACTCCTGATATGATTAGGAGGTTTTCTTAATCATTAAGAAAGAGAAGGAAAACCCTAATTCGAATTTACAAGAATTCGAACCCAAGGGATTTCGCAGAGAACACACCTGCATTCTGAAGATTAGATCTCGGAAACCTTAGAGGAGAAATGCAGTTCGCCACCTTCTTCTCTAGTATTTCTCCTCCATCAGCTGCTGCCTACCACCACCAGTTCGATTTCTCTGAGAGGGAAAGATCAAGAAAGAGTTCTTGATTTCAGTCTTTGCTGAAAGGCTGATTCAATTCGGTGCTCATTGTTTCCAGAGGATTCTTGTGAAGGATTCAGTGCGTAGGACGCACTCTGCTGGTTCTGTTCCACAGTTGCTGTGTCATCTTCAGCAAGAGCAGATATTGGTGTCTTCTTTGGGTGTGAACACCAACTTTGGGAGATATTACTTCTCTGGATCAGGTATAATCACTCCCTTCTCTTTTGGTTCAAATCTGGTCTGGTTTGGTTTAAGTAGGATCCTTGAATTTTGATTCTAAAATTAGGGAATACGATTTCCAGTTGGAGGAAGGTAGGAAATTTTTGAAATTCGCCCACCCATTCTGCAACAGTTTTGGCGTCCATACAATGGATCCTACCATCCCTTTCAAGGTGCGAGTGCGACTGCGATGGAGCTGGGCTGCTCGAGCTTGCAGAGTTCGCCTGTTCGGTTCTCCTCCCTCTCTAGTCGAACCAAAACCCTTGTCTTAGTTTAGTTGTATACCCTTGTCTTAGTTTAGTTGTATACACTATTCTATAGYTGTCTTAATACTRAACTGATACAGTGTAACAGGTTTATTTTAAAGGAATACAACAACCAATGAAATATCAAATTAATAAATTAAAAAAAATAATTATTTTAGATACATTAGGCGCCTGCCTAAGTCTCTGGGCGGGCGCCTAGTGTGCAAAACATATGGCGTTTGGGCGAGGCGACCTTCAAAAACCGCCTAGTGGCACTTAGGCGTCGCCTTGACAACTATGATCTAATTGTGAGGACACAATGTAATTTGAACAACTACATTTTTCCAAATTCAATTCCCTCTTATTAAGCCTTATGTTCAGGGTGTTAACTTTCATTATTTCATTGAATCCTATATTAATTAACCATATTAAAGAAAAATAAGTGTGACAAAGAATAATTGTTTTTACTGATGATAAAAATAAAATACAAATTTAAAACTGGCCCAAAAATGTAGTTGTTTTCCTGTTTGGTGGCCAGTGAACAATTCAACCTTTTTATTAAATAATAATAGAAATTAAAAAGATGAAAACACATAAAAGTATAAAAAATGCAAAAATAATTGTATAAAATATTTGGGCACATCTCTAATATTGAATATTCATCATATTAAATAAAAATAAGTGTGGCAAATAAGAATAATTTTTTCTTGTACAGAAAAAAATGTATAAGAAAAATTGCCATCTGCAAAGCATGTGCACATTTACTAGTAGTAACGGAAAAGACAGAAGTAAAATCACAAGTGAATGAGATATGTATAGAAGAGAAGATGGCTAAAAACTAGAAGGGAGACAGAGAAATGCCTATTTAACTCTCTTAATCTTCTTTTATTTGATATTCATAGATTCATAGTTGTTTACTATGGTTTTTGAGTCTTAAAATGTGCAACTATACTTCTAACTATACACGGAGTTTTATTAACAATTGTATATTTTTAGTATTTTTCCTTGATTTCTTTACATTTTTTTGGCATCTTAACAAAATTAGCGAAAGATCCCCAAAATTTCCCATCTGTGCAATGTGAAATGTTCATCGTTATTGAAATTGCAAACCATGTTCCTAAATACAGATAATAGGCCTACATGGTCATTATTACTCCATTGATCCCAATCCTTTGTTAAACCATGATACCAGCTATTTGGTTTTCATTGTAGTCGTATATTATTAGAGAAAAAAAGGAATTTCAGGCACTATTGACTTAAGTGACTCTGGTTGGTTCCTATAGTAAGATCTAATACAAGTGTTTTATTTGCAGATGGTATTCTTTTGGGAGGCATTCTATTCATGTATGAGTTTCATAATTTTCTGCGTCCTATTCTTCTCCTTATGTACTCCTTCTGGATACCTCAAATAGTCACTAATATTATACGTGATTCAAGAAAACCATTACATCCTCATTACATATTAGGCATAACTGTTACCCGGCTAGCAATTCCATTGTATGTCTTTGGTTGCCCAAACAATTTCATGCGCATTGAACAAGACAAGAATTGGTGCATCTTTTTGGTGGTATTCATGGGGCTCCAAGCATCGATTCTTCTTCTTCAGCATTATCTTGGATCTCGGTGTCTCATACCTCGCCAGGTTTGAATTATTTTTCATTATTACGGTTACCTTCCTGCCGTTCTTGAGCTGTGCATTTTTCTTTAAGCATACTAAAGTATCTGTCTATTCACATCAACCAGATGCTGGAATGATCTTTTAAGTATCGATAGCATGTTATTATTTTGAATATGCATACTGGCCACTTCTCTCTGTTAGTCCTTAGTTTTTTGACTTGATTTTTTTGTAAATCTGTATAGAAGATACAACTATGAAAATGATTCATTATTCTTCATGTCAGCATCAGGTAATGACCTTTTAGACTCATGGGTTATCTAGACATCTGAAATGCAATATCCACAAAAAGGGACCCAAGCCATTGCATTAATTGTAGACACCCTTTCACCTTGGTAGGACTGATGTAGGACCAGCTCAGTTCTAGTCCTTAAAGAATGTTGAATGGTTTTCTTGATCAAAGTTTTATGGCTGTTGACGGCTGTAATGGCTTCTTGAAGGAATAAAAGAGAAAATACCTGGAATCACTCACAGGGTGCCTAGAATCACTCTAGGGCATGGGAATCACTTACCAGTCACCATAGCTTGCAGCTGAAGAAAACTCAATATATTTCATTGCCTTTGTGTAAAACGTCCATACATATTTATAGACTCTGAACTCATAATAATCCTAGGAGTCAAACTGGTAGACTCATAATAGTCTTAGGAGTAAAACTGTTAGACTCAATAATCCTAGTAGGATTCAAACCAAGTTGTCATATCCTATTTCAATTCAAAGAAGACTCAATAACTCTAATCCTACTTATGCAATGACTGAAATTTTAAACATAAACAAACTATAACTAGACAATTTAAACCCTATCATTGGACCCCATAGAAAATTGTAAAAATGACAAAAATACCCTTGGTATTCAATATGCCATATCAGGACCTGTTGTAAGGCCTTCTTCTTTCTAGAATAAGTCTTCAAGGGTGCTGATCGATTCCTATCAGGGACCTACCTGTTTTGTCGTCTTTGCAACCTGTAATGAAACCATTATACTTTTCTAGACTCCTTTTTTTTTCTTTTTCACGTCTTTCTGATATCTATCTAGACTTATTTTGCAGTCATTTTCACTTGCAAACAATTACCATGCAACAATAAAGTCTCCGGGGGATTCTTACCAAGTTTCAATTTATGTTCTCAAGGATCAGGGCCCTTTATAACTCAGTTCTCCTCTACTATACCAATTATTGTTGGGTGTTAAGGATGCAATACATGTATCACTTTTATTGAGCAATGCATATATCACTTAACTCGTTAGAAAAGAGGGCCTATAATTTTTGGGCTCGACTATGATTCCAGAACAACATGATATCCGAAAAATTTGTGACCAATCAACGGGTATCATAAATAGGTAAACCAATCAACTGGTATTTGTCAAAATTCATGAGTGGGTTTTGATTGGTCAAAACTCTTCTGTTACCATGTCTTTCTGGTATTGTAGATTTTATGCAATAAAAATAAACATAAAACAATGCCAAAATCCTTGTTTAAAAAATGCACTAATTACCAATGTTCAGCTCTCTTGCATGGTAGTACATGTTAACATGTAAATGAGTTTGAATTGCCAAGTAGGGGTTATGTTCTTTATATAAACTATTTCATGTCATGTTAGGATGCTGCTTATACAGAGAACTTACCTTGATTAATTAATGGGAACTGACTTGTGATGGTGGTTGGCAGATCCTACCTGAGAAATATAGTTATTATAGAAGGTTTGATCAAGATACTAGTCAGGCTACTGATTGCGTTATTTGCATGACTGCCATTGATCTTACACAACGATCAAATGATTGCATGGTACTTGATGAAATCCTTGTGCCTATTTTGTTTCGTATTATTAATCATTTATAGCCTTTTTATCTGAATTGAATCTTTGATGGAGCTATTGACCTGACTAAATAGGGAAATCTTCATACAGGTGACTCCCTGTGATCATTTCTTCCATTCGGGTTGTTTACAAAGGTGGATGGATATAAAGATGGAATGCCCAACTTGCCGACGCCCCCTGCCACCGGCTTAGATAGATGCTCCTGCCCTCTCTGTATAGTTTTTTTAGAATCAGCTGACATCGTCCAGTTCATTATTTTCTGGTAATAGTAGCTTCCATCAGGTTAATTGAGCTAAAAGTATTAGTTACCGTAAGAGCCAAGAGCTCTGCAAACCCCCCATCCCCTGACTCGCTACTGACTTATTTTAACACTTGCTTTCATTTCAGGTAGGCAATTTAACCAGGATCTGCATAAACTACATCCCCACGAGGTAGCTGCTATGTGGTATACTTAATTCAGACATTCCAAGAGCATGTACAAACAACTCATGGCCTCCATAATTCATGTACTTTAGTGTTTTAACATGATGCATATGCTGCTTCGGTACATTTTGTTGTCTTTATTAACAGGGGTGTCTTTCCCAACTCCTGCCCTTCTACTTGCTTCCCAATTGGGGGTAGGAAACCTCCAGAGTCAGAATCTTACTTATCATTCAATTAAGTAGGGAGATTAAGAAAAAGAAAAACAGAAAATAGGCGGATATAAAGACAGACTGTACTGAAGGCCTTGGCATCATCATCATCGTCTTACATGCCTTATCCCAACTGTGGGGTTGTCTATGTTTCACCAATCCATTCTATTTTAAACCATACGACTGTTAAATTAAGAGCGAAAAGAGGAAAGAGAATGATAAATGATGGCATATGAATATGGGCTGCAACTGGAGCGAGGCCTGTTCTCGAGTAAACGTTGAATGGTTAGAAGGTGGTTCCAATTCCCAAGTCATAACACGAACAAAAAATCATGGTTTTTAAAACTGAACCGGTCAGGGGTTTGATTACCGGTTTGAATGGTCTGACCGTTTGACCCGAATGGTAGGCCTGTTCTGTCAAAAATAAAAAATAAAAAAAAATTGAAAAATGGTCAAACCTTTCAAACGGTTAACCGGCCGGTTCAGCGGTTTGCTGACCACAATCAACAGTTTTGTGGAAAAAAGCGGTTTTGGGGGAAAACGGGTGACTGGTTCCTGGTTTTTCCGGTCCGACTGTCTGGTCTGGTCCGGTTTTAAAAACCATGCAAAAAATAAAAGGGTCCTAAACCCACTATGAATTTACAATTTACTGGGGTATGGATTAAGGTAGTGTTTATTCATCTTTTTCTGTTTCATTTCATTAACTTGTCACATTCTAGAACAGAACAAGTCCCGCCTCATAGCTTGATAGAGGCTACCATTATCAAAAGGGAGGAAAATCAATGCAGAAAATATGTAGCCCAATCCCAATGGATTCATTTATTTACTTGTTTTGAGTTGCATTTGATTAAAATAGACTCCTTTTCTTCTTCCCCTTCTTAGGTTTTGATTTATGTTCTAGCATTTCTGCCCATGTACAAAGCAATATGGATGACATCTAAAATTTTAAATAGACTTTATTTTGGTTTAAATTTATTAAATCATTACCCGGGTTAGCTGCGTGAATCCTGTTTCACCATTCTTTTCTTTGATCAAATAATATGTGTACGTGGCAATTTTTTGTTGATGAAGATGATAGTCAATAATATATTTTCAAAAATTTTTATATTTCTGGGTTCATAATTTTTTTTTTTATTTATCACATTTAATTTTTTTTAATATGATGAATATATGATTTTAGAGATGTGTCCAAATGTTTTTTTTTTTTTTACAATTTTTTTTTGTTATTTTATACTTTTATGTGTTTTCATTTTTTTAATTATTATTATTATTTAATTAGGATCCTTAGGGTTGACACATATGACACAAAAGGTTGAATTAGTGACTTCCACTAAATAAGAAAACAAATTTGTTCTGGGGTTGGTTTTAAATTCGTATTTTATTTCTATAATTAATAAAAATAATTATTTTTTGTCATACTTATTTTTCTTTAATATGGTTAATTAATATATAATTCAATGAAAGAATGAAAGTTAATACCCCAAATATAAAACTTAATGAGAGGGAATAAAACAAGGAGAAATATAGTAGTCCAAATTATATTTTGTGTCTTGACAATTAGAGAATAACCAAATTCAAAAATAAAAAATAAGGATATTATAATCAAGAATAGGATTTAATTAATATTAATGAGAAATAATACCTTAAATATAAGACTTAATAAAAGGATTTTAAATAAGAAAAAAGTGGTTGTTCAAATTGTATTTTTGTCCTCATAATTAGAGAAATATCAAATTCAAAAATTGAGATATTTTAATCAAACAGAAGTTTCACGATATCATTCAATTTTTAATAATAATATAGATAGATTTATAGTTTATACATTTTTCAATTGCCTTTATTGTTGGAAAAAAGTTTCCTCTACTCGAATGAGACATATATGAGAGATTGAGAGGTAGCACGCAGGAAGATGAGTTGGGGCCCAACCAAGAAACAAACAGAGCATTCTTTTATTGAACAATAATGGAGACAAAAGTTCAGTCCATATATCTGAAAACAACACGAGGAAGTGGGAGCCATCAGCTTTTTTGTCTGTTTGTGGGCCCCACCGAACGAAGGCCCAGAGGCCCCAGGGCCCAGACGTTTGCAAAAACTTAAGACAATAAAGACTGAGTTCAGTAAAATAAGCTTCAAGAGTACGTGGTTTGAAGTGAAAGAATGATGACTGGTGGGGGCCTCTGCCAGCCAAGCCCAAGTCAACCATGCTGGGCTTGCAACAGACCAGTCCTTATTGACTCGGCCCAACCCAACTTGGTTCAGATGGTCTGACTCTCTCATCCAATCCACAACGCTACTCTCCTCACGTCTGTCTGCTACTCTGGTATCTTCAGGATGCGCAAGGGCATTTCGGTAATTTTCCAACCACAATCGGGTTCTGAATTCTGATTGTCTTATCTCTGGAATGGAGGGTCCATTTTCTGAACCCGGTCCAGTCCTTAGTCCATTCATCACTAGTTTGGTGATCACTGAGTACTGACTAGTGAAGAGTGAGCCCGGATCTCCTGTAAGTAAAAGTTTTGCTCCTGAAGCATCCATCCGTAAATTAGGAATATCTCCCGTACATCTTGATAAATCATGGGAGATGTTCCCAATGTACGGTCAGGTTCCCTGCTTTCACAGTGTTACAGACAATTCCATCGCGAAGTGAGCACCCTATTGGCTATTTATATAAATATAAATAAATAAGTAAAACAGTGAAAAAGCCATTTTTTGTTTTTTTGTGGTTTCTGGCTTCCTTCTTAAACAAAAGGCAGTAAAAAGAGATTGGGAGAAATAAGGCAATAACCATTAACCAGAGAGCTTTTTCCTATTCTCTTTTGTTTTTTATTCTTCCTTCGTTTTTATTTTGCATGGCGGCTTCTCTGTTTCCTCCTTCTTGCTTCGTCGACGAATAACTTCTGCTTCCGCTTCCTCGTTCGATTGATTTTGAAGACTGTCTGAGTACTCTCTCCTCTCCTCTCTTTCTCTCGACCATCTTTTTCTAAGGTTGATCTAGTTCAGTTTTATTCGGTCGGTGAAGTGTTTTCTTTTTTTTCTTTGTAATGTAACCGTTCGTTTCTGCTATGCTCTGTTTCTACTGAGCACTTCCTTTTTTTTTTAGTTCATCAGTTTTTGGCGCCTTTTTTTATGTTTTTCATCCGTTTGTACTGTGAACTGAAGAACTTGTTTCGTCTCTTCGGAGACATCCGATAAAATTGGAACTGAAGAACTTGTTTTAGTTCTTTTTCAGGTTTTAGTGCTTGAGGATGGCGGATTCAGGTTGGGATCCGAGGCAGATGTTAGTTTCTTATCCATTAATAGTCATGTTTCTTCTATCTCTGCTTCTGTCGTTAATGTTATTCATTATTATTTAGTTAATAGCTTAGTTGGTTCTTTTGTGTAGGTTTGATCGTTACCTTTATGATTATTTGTTGAGAAAGAAAATGCATACGACAGCCCGGATATTCAAGGAAGAGGCAAAAGTTTCCGATGACCGTCTTGGTAATGCGTCGTCAGTGTCATTCTCTCCCTCTCTCTCTCTCTCGTTTTGCTTTTGTTTCTTTTTTTCCTGCTGTTTCCCATGGGTGAACGAATTGAATGCTTTAATTACAAGAATTGTATCGAGCTGTATCTTGGTGACGATGGAGTTTTTCTCCCAAAATTTCCACTTTTAGCGGAGTGCGGGCTTGATATTGTATTGATTTTATTTGAATGAAATAGTTTAATCAGTAGATTGGAACACTCGGTTGTAGTAAGTCATTGTACAAATTTCTGTTTCGTGATCAGGAATTTGTTCTTTCTTCAGGGATTAATTCGCCTGAGGGTTTCTTATGGGAATGGTGGTCTTTCTTTTATGATGTGTACTCCTCTAGAGATCAGAAGGATCATGTGGCTAATAAACAACCTTCGGTTGAGGTGAGGTTTTGGTGATATTCTTGGTTTTTTTCTATTGACGTTGTCCTCTGCGAGAGTAGCACATCTGATGCTAAATGTTGAATGGAAACTGAATAACTAACATACATTCATGTCTGCAGCTATTTGAGATGAATAGGAAAATGGTTGTTCAGCTACCTTATGATGTTGATTTTGCAAACATGGTGGGAGGGCCACATGCTAGCATGTTGGCAAAAATGTACGAGGAGGACCATATTGGACATCCTTCTTCCAAAATTTTGGACCCTCGAATACAGATGGTCAATGGCAAACCAACGGTCAAAGTTCCAGGGTATTTTCAACTCTGTCTTGTACTTCAAATTAGATTGAGGATTATTTCATTACCAATTTACCACAGTTATTTGTTTGCGTGCTATTTAACCAATAAGCTGTTCTGATTTCTTTTTTTTTTCTTTAATATCCTTTCTCGTGTTTGCAGCCATCCACGGCAACAAATTCATGCAGAGAATCAACAGCGAGTTACAGTAAGAGTATGCATTTGATTTTTTCTGATGCCATTTCCAAAATTTTCGAATTGCATTTATGATCTGTTTCTAATTGTGCAGGATAATAGGCAGCGAATTAATGTGAACAAGTCAATTCCCTTGGAGTCAACACCTCATGGTGTACCAAAGGCTATGCTCCCAAGAACTGGACCTCATGACACAGGTCTTTTAGACATTGGTTTAACATAAATTGTTTGGTTTGTAGGTCATTCAAGCTTCCATCCATTGACTTGGATGTTGGCCCAACAGAACACTTATTAAGACTCTCCACTTATATAAATCTAGATAATACATGCATCTTGCATGCTTTATCCTGTTGAAAACTTTTTTATTTTATTTTTTTTAGTTTGTGGGGTTTCTATATGTTATTCTTAACTGTGAAATTGAACTCAAAATTGAGTGAGCATGGTCAGTATGCCGGTATGGAATGATAATACAGTTCTGGAGAGCTTCTCACCCGCTTGGAAGAGTTTAGATGAACCTAGAAGAGTGCAGCTTGGTGATTTATATTAGAAAAGTCTGGAGGTTGGTAACAAGTTCAACCTATGTGAATGAGTGGAGATCTCAACTTATCTGGTATAGAATCCTCTCAGGCAGGTCATACCTTAGGTCTTCCTTCAAACCAAATCTGTTAGATTAAGAAATTCAGATTGAACAAGATAAGACATCCATTCTTTTTGGGAATTAGCTGGTTCTTCTTAGTGTTTGTGCAATTATGTTTGATATAGGCTTTTAGCTTGTGGGGGCACTTTTTTTGCAAAATGGTCCCCTTTGCAACATATAAGTATGCACTGTTTTGATAGCCAATGATTTGAGGCTAGTGGTTAATTGTCAGGTCCGGTGGGTAAGATAGCGTTACATCCTAGGTCTCATCCTGATACGTGGAGATGGAGCATGCAGGTGTCTTGTTAGAACTTGTATAGTTGCAAGGTCATTGGGCGAATCAAATCAACATTATTCATGGGTTATCCATGCTCGAGGAATTCCAGGGATGCAACTGCATTAGCCTCTTTCAAATCTAGGACACTATCATCCATGACCAACTTGGATTTTTGTTAGTGTACAGTTTGGTTATAGTGGTTTTTAGCCTACTTGTAATTAAGGTTTCCCTACTTTTTAACACAGTTGTGCTTTCCGGGTTGATGAAAAGATGGATTAAATGATTAATCTCATTATCTATTATTAATTAATATGATTAGTTCATTTTTTTTCGTAAATTGATTATACATCATATGGTGGTTCTTGGTACTCTGTTAACTAGGATAAATATACATTGAATGAGCATCAGCTCTTTGGTGGCAAGATGAATTATTTCTTCTTCTGGAGGGTAACATGCATTTCAACATGTGTGTGTTAAGTTTTGTCATACTCTACAATGAGCTTTTTTGACTTTAGAATGGGAAAGAATTTTCTTAGATCATGTTTAGATGCTTCATGCATACCTATTATTTCTGTTTATTGGCATTTTATGTTTGATGTTCGGCATACCTATTTAAACATTGCAGTGTTGAAGAAAAGGTCCTGCCCACTACCATTGGATGGCCGACCTTTAACTGTATGTGACATGCTTTATTCTCTGAATCTTTTCCTGCAGCAGTTGTAGCCTGTAGGTTTTTCTTTATTATAAGCTGCACACTGTTAGTATAAATGTTGATTTGTGTAACCTCTTCCCAGGGAATTGACCAAATCCCGCCAGGATTGGGAAAGCAAGTACTAAAGTCAGTTCCACATATGCCGATCCAACAGCAATGCTTTCAGATGTTGAGAGCCCAAAGTCAACAAGAGCTCGTAGCTCAAGCACTGCAACACACACCACAGAACCTGATGTCTTCTTTTTCTGGGAACTTTGCTGATATGGATCCTCAAACTTTGATGCTTCTCAAGGTTGGATTAAATAGGAATGATGGCCCGGGTACTGGTAACTTTGGTCTCCAACATATTGGTTCTTCTCCAGTTGAAGCATTGTCTAGAATGGGCAAAACAGCACCAACAACTGAGGTAAATCTTGCTGGGTTCAGTCCCCCCTCAATTCCAAGTATTGAACTAATTGAAAATTAATGGGCATATCTAAACTAGTTTATGGATCTTTTATTGCTAAGTGCTAACTTCATTGGGAAAAGGGAATAGCAATAGTTGTAAAGTTACATAACGATTGTTTCTTGTCATTTTACATAAGAATTTAAAAGATGGTCCATGGAGATTCAAATTGCATGTTTAATGGGATCAAAGAAAATTTTCTTTTGTTTCTTGTTGTTTTAGATGTATTCCTAGAGAGCTGAATAGAGTGACCAATGTATTGGCTAAATCTGGGGTGGGAAGTAGGGCTGTTCATGGGTCAGTTTGGTTCGTTTTCAGTTAATTTTACCAACTGAACCGAAAAAATTATCCTTTTTCTCAAAAAAATGAATAAAAGATTGTTTCTGTTTTTAACTGTTCGATGTTAAGAGTACTATTTCTCACTTAAAATGATTATGGTTGTGATACAAATTTCAAATTTCTACTATTTATTCTTTCCTCTACATGATAACTGATGGATGATAATTCAGATAATGTCCCAACTGAGGCAAAATGCACATCAACAACAGGCTCAGATATAATATCAGCAATTCCAAGACGTTGATAGTTGTTCTTTAGACATTTTCAGCTTATTTATTTTCGACATTTGAACTTATTTGATACCATTCTTGGTATATACATGTTTTACATCAGAGTGGCAGAAAGAAGAAGGGCAGATCAGGTTGTCAGGCTGAAGATGTTACTGCAGCAGGATACCCTGCTGGTTCTGCAGAATCTGTGCTGCCAATTTATGTTAACATGGAGCGTGAAGCTTTGTCACATAGTGATAGAGCATCTGAAAAGCAAAACATACGTGGTTCCAACAAAAGTGGGCTGGTTGAAGCCTTTGAAAAGATGGTACCTATTTGTTTTCTATGTGCTTATGAGATACTCCAGTGTGGGTGTTAGATTCCATATCGCTAATTGTTAATCATAAAAACCACTTTTAGGGTGCTATGGATGGTCAGGATGATGCTTCTTCAGATACTTATGTAGAATCTTTTCTCTCATATGATAATGAGACTGAGGACATGAAGAATGATCCTTTCAGCACTTTGCAACGAAGTTCCACAACTTGTGGGAAGAATGCCCCAAAAGGTGAATTTTGGATGCTTTATAAAAACAAATGCAAGGTAGAATAGACTCTCTGAATCATTGTTTTTTTCCTTAGCCTTGTGATACCATTCATTAATAGAACCCTTTATTCAATATTATTGACTCAACATCCATTTTTTATCATCTCTAAAACAACATATATTGGTAATATATTCATACTTATCTCCCTCAGAAATCTTGCCTTTTTTTTGCATGGTTGCAGTGTTGCACTCAATTTTGGACAGCCAGTGGCTTCTATTTGGAACAAGCTAGCTACTTGTTTTCTTTTCCGAACTTCTGATTCATGAATTATTGCTAGGATTACACCTTCTACCTTGGCTCCATTGCAGCCTAGAACCATATGCCTATCCTTTACTCATGTATACTGATCCACGATTTCTTCATTGGTCATCCGGATAAACAATAAGACTGAAAAGTGTTGCATAGAAAATTCTTATTTGGAATGAACCATAGTTTTATTTATCATATGAGGTGTGCACTAAACACACCTGACATGAGATGGATATCAAGGTGGTTGAGAGAGAGAATCTACATTTTACTTCATTTATTCTCTTTAGTGGGTAATTTTCTTGGTGGTTGGTTCTTAGATGGTATTTTGACTTGGATTTCCATACTAGGCAACTCTGTACTAAGGGAATACAGTGGGAAAAAGAAAGAAAAAGATACCATATTAAATATAATTACAAAGAAGAGAAAAAAGTATGTTCTTTTATTGATGCATAAATCAAGGACTCTTTGTTGAATGCATTGCTGCAGCACATTGATTATTGATAGCACTGTATGGACTGATGAGATTAGCCACTTAATTAGAGGGAGGGGATTTAGGAGCTGTTTGATAACAGCTGAAGTGTCTGATCTGAATGACTAATTGTTTTACCTTTTAGTGAATAAGATAATTAAATAGTAATAAAACATTCGGTTATATAGTAATTAACCTAACTTCAGCTTCTGCCATTAAGTAGTTCACAACCTCCTTAATAACTTATTTGCTAAAAGACAAAATACCAAGCCATTCAGTTTGGCCCAATTATATACATTCTTGGATGCAAAACCATTCAGTTTGGTCCCCTTGCCTTGTCATTTGGAGCTAAAAGCCTTATTATATGCATTCTTGGTGCAAAACCATTTACTTCATTCATTCATAGATTAATAAATTCCTTTTTATACATATGCATCAGGAAAAAAAAGGTATTTTGAAACGACAAGATCTTAAACTAGTCTGGGGCTCATAACTTTCCATTTATAATTTATTTAGAGGGTTCAGACACACTATTTAATTGGTTCCAAAATGGAGATTTTCTGGGCTAAAATCATCCTGAAACATGATGGCAGCAGGCAGTCTGTTTGTGTGGTAGAAAAAGTTCTGTGCCAATATTAGAAAGTCCTAAAATTTAATCCATAAATAAAATGGTTAAAATCATACGATAGATTATCCTGGCATTTGTTGCCAACACTTTGCATGGTAGGTCATCATCAAATGATGGATCCCATCCTGATGCTCTGAATTTGCAACAAATGACAAGGCATGGGGGCCCCAGACCTCCATCATCCAATGATGGATCTGATCCTGATCCTCTAAATATGCAACAATTGGCAAGGCACAAGGGCCTTACAGTCCTGATTTACAGACCCAAGTGTCTCCTTGAAATGCTCTAGTGATGAAAAGAGGGGATGAGAGAACATCAAAGGAACTTGTATTTTAATGTAGAAGAAATTGTATTTCATGGGATTTTCTTTAAAAACAAGAAATTTTCATTTGTGACAGGCTTTTCATTTGAAGAGGTTGGTTGCCTTAGTTCAAGCAATAGCAAGGTTCTGTGCTGCCATTTCTCATCAGATGGAAAGTTTTTAGCTAGTGCCGGGCATGATAAGAAGGTTTCCAATGCCATACATTTTTGAACAGTATGGTACATTTTACTCATTTATCTAAATTTTTTTGATATGGCTCTGATTATGTATTTCATTGGCAGGTTGTAATTTGGAACATGGATACTTTTGAGTCCAAAAGAAGTTCAGAAGATCATTCTCTTCTGATTACAGATGTTCGATTTAAACCAAATTCAAATCTTCTTGCAACATCTTCTTTTGATAAAACAATTCAAATTTGGGATGCGTCTGATGTAAATTTTTTCCCCTAGCTTGCTTTATATCCAATAACTTAGTAGTTAGGCTGTGTAGGCTATGAATGTTTGCATGTTTCAAGTCATGTTACAAGAGCTTTTATGGTTTTTCTAGCAAGCTCTTCTCAAATGATAAACAAAGCCTCTATTATTTATGGGTCTACATTCTTGAAGTTGCTGTTGCATCATTGTCTTCGTGGTTTCCACTTCTTTACATTGTTTCTGGAAGAACAGATTTCCTTTTTACAAAAAGTGACTTGTATGGCTTCTCTCTTATTACTTTTTTCAGACAGTGTCTTGTAACACATTAGATGATTCTAATTCCTCATGTTGAAATTATTTATGGCTTTTTGGGTTTTTTTATGTAAAATTTGAGGTACTTTGAGATTAAGTAGAAGTTTTTTGTTTTTCTTTTTTAGTTTTGACCTTGTATCTAAGATATGAAGAAAAGAATACTGATTATGAAGCTATTCTAATTGTTTCCTCAGATCATAGAATTTTTGAAAAGTATGACAGCTTTATATGTCTGTGCATGTTGTTCTGATCATCCAAGCTCCGTGTTACTGTGTAATGCTCGATAATAGCTGCTTTTACGTACAACAGTTGTTAGAATTTAGTTGATTCTTGGGATGGAGTTTTGATCTTCTTTTGGTAGCATCCTTTTATTGAACCTGTCTTTTATTCACATTGTAATTACTAAATGGCTGTTATCAGTGACATCTAATATGATCAGTATAGGCCTCAAATTGGTCATATGACAGTGAAAATCTGTTTATTTTATTTTTACATTGAATTCAAAAATAAGAAAAATTGTCTTAAGAAGCCATAGATTAAATTTGTTATAAACTGTGTTAAATTTGTTCACTAATTCTATGATAATTTTGTAATAAAATAAACAAAATATTTTAAGAAGTCATAATTTTTTTAACTAAGATAAACTCTGTTACTTAACAGCTTGAGAGACCAGGTAACTTTTATTATGGATGCAACATGGGCAATGTTGAACTCCTCCCAAGGAACTTCTTTGAAGATACTTTAACAGGCTATATTCATTATGCCACTGATCTAATTTATCTATATTTTAGTTGCTTGGTTTTAACACCTAATACATGATACATAGATGCAAAAAGATTTTTCTTCAGAGACAACCTTTGTAAAAATCTGGTTTTAACATTGTTTCATATTATTCAACTGCTTTGAAAGGTAGGGTGGCCAATAAGGGGACTAAGGGTGCAGGGTGAAATTAATCCAATTGAAGTGGGTTAATATTTTTCTTGGGATATGGTTGATGTTGTATACTACTCTCTATTGGTTCTTTTCCATGAATAACCATGTATCAGATGCACTGTTCCAAATATTTGAATTCTGGTTTGTCCTTCTGGGATATGGTTGATGGTGTGCATTTCATATCTTACCTTTAAGGTATTTGAAAGAATAAATTTTCCAAGTGACAAATGTACATGCTATGTAGATCTTACTGCACTATGCTCCCTTGTTATGGACATGAATCAATCAAGGCATTTATGACAGTTACAACAGCTTAGTTCATAATATAATGTGATTAAAAAAAGTATGAAATTGATAAAGCTAGGAGGATTACTGATGAAACATTTAATTCCTGCTTGGCTCATTTGTTTTTCAGATTTTTCCCTTTTCCTAAAGCATTTTTTCTTCTCTTGTTTCTTTTCTTCTATTAAGAGGGTGGATATTTATGAGTTTAATATGTATGGTTTTACAGACAATCCATCCAATTCACAAACTTACTGGACACACGGAACAAGTGATGTCATTAGATTTCCATCCGGAGAAGGTAGACCTTCTGTGCTCATGTGATGGTAATAATGAAATTTTGTTCTGGAACGTGAAGTGCCAAACATGCAAACACATCTCCAAGGTCAGCTTTAAACTTTTGTATCTGCTGGAACTACTTCACAAACACTATGAGAATATTTTATGTCAGGCAGCGGCAGAATGTTTCATTTTACCATTTATCCATCAAGAAAAGCTTTACAGTTTCAGCATTTTGACCATCCACTAATTTTGATCAATATGCAAAGCTGTGTATTAATTTTCCATAGATCAGTAATTGTTCCATAGTATTGGGGAAGTTGGGTTGAAGTTTCAACTTCTAATCCTGACTGATTGGAATTGGGTGCTCAAAACTGTTTAACATACAATATGTTGTAGGATGGGGGAGGGGGTTGCTACATTTTCCCTTTAAGTCATTTCTTTTTCCATTTTCCTATGTTTAAAACATCTCTCTGCTTGCTTTATTTTGTGGGGCATCCCCCCTTCTTTAATATAATATTTTCACTTGTCAAAAAAAAAAACGCTTCTTTGCATGCTTACATTTCCATGATATTTGATCTAATCCATAAAAATAGAAATCCATTTACTCTGCATTCTACTTTAATTTCCAAATTTCCTTGTTCCATACTATTTTTTTTCTGATGATTTATAGGCTCATAATTTAACAATGGATATGACACTGAATAGATGGGAAACACAAGTCGTAACAGGATTCATGTAGCTAACCCCATATAGGGACTAGGTTTTGATGATGATGATGGTGTGTTTGAAATACTTTGATCGTGTCAAAGTGTGTACATATGCATGTGTATTCAAGCTTGCTATCATCCATGGAAGGAAAAGTGTGCAGGTTAAAGAAAACAATTTATGGATTGAAAAATCTTAGAGACCTTGGTTTGTTCTTCTTAATATATTTTAATTTTCACCTCAACTGATTTTTCCCAAGGTACACAGTTTGTACCATACTACCATTGAGCTTTACCAAAGTCATTTGAACAGCCATTTCTGGCTGAATCACTACACTAGACTTAGTTTCACTACCAGAGGCTGCCATAATCTCAATAACAGTGCTGGTGTAATCCTTAAGCAGTAAGAAAAAAGAATTGATTCACTTCAGGCCAAGAAATCACCAAAAAACTAATTCCGTACTAGTCCGAGAGTATTAACAGGATAGCTGTACTATATAAAAAAAAAATCAAAAAACACATTCTAGCAGATAGCCAATCCTACACATGAAATGGAGAATAAAAACCTCACCCTATTATCCTATTTGCACTCATCATTCAATGAAAACATCTAATAAACAAGCCACTAACCTGTACCATTCATCATCAGTCCCTCTTTGAACTGCCAAATAGAGAGGGAAACTAGGAAACCACCAAAAACATCACAAGAACTTCAACTCAAGGCATGAAAGCCTCCTTCCCTGATAGACGTCAAGGCACGAAAGCCTCCTCTGATGGGCGACCAGTCCTTTTTGGTCACTTTCCATTTAATGTATGGTGAGAGAATATTGATAAAAAAAATGAATGGTGAGAGAACCTCAAGTCAATCCTTGCTAGGCATCCTTACCAGTCCAAGTCGATTAGGTTTGCTCTGATACCATGTGGTTAGACCTGAAACACTAGTTAAATGAATGGGATGAGTGCTAAAAACTGTCCAGCCGCACTTAGAGTAGAAGGAAAGAAGAAGAGGAGAAGTTGAAGAAGGGCTGAAAGCAGTAGAGGTTGTCATATCCTCTAACTGCCGCCCAGCTCTCTTTTTATTATATTTATGAAATTGCATTACTGCTCCTGACTAAATAGATTAAAGAAATAACAAATAGAAAACCAAAGAAAAGAGAATAACCAAACGGACCCTACTGACCAACTTTATAATTTAACATGGAGGAATCATGTGGCCATTCCTTTTTGGTTGGATTTGTGCTCATTCCTCAGTAGATATCAGGACCATATCCCACCTGCTATAATGATAATAGCCATCCAAATTTAGGATTCTTAATTAAAAAAAAATGATTATTGGCATTCTTATTTTGGATATGTTGGAAAGTTTGTGGGGTGAAATTTATCCCAAGAATACAAATTTGGGCCCAAAACAAGTTGCCTCATTAAAGATTCCTCAGTATTTTTTTTTTTTTTTTATAATTCCTTGTTTTAACTTTTCCTTTACATACATAGAAGAATGTTTACCCTTCCAATGTATACTTATCTAGGCAATTCTGACAAGCATCATGATACTATGGAATAATGTTGACTCGAGCTCCTGAGAATTTTGTTGAATAGAGCTTCTTCTTATTTTCTTCTATAAATGCAGGGTGGTACAACACAAGTCAGATTCCAGCCACAAGTTGGGCGGCTTCTGGCTGCTGCTGCAGGGAATATGATCAATATACTAGATGTTGAGACTGACAGCCTTCAGTTTAAGTTGCAGGTGTGCTTGTTGATGCACACATAAGATCTCACTAATACTGCCTTGAATGTTGCATGTGTGTATGGTTCTTAAGCTCTTGATGAAATGATTGTTTGACAATGTTTCATTTTTCCCTAGGGACATGTCAATGAAGTTTACTCAATTTGCTGGGATACAAGTGGGAAATATATTGCTTCTGTTAGCAAAGATTGTGTATGTTTGTGGTCAACTGCATTGGGTGGAGAATGTATTCACAAACTGTGTTCCAATGGCAACAAATTCCAATCTTGTGCATTCCATCCTGGGTATTCTATGCTTCTAGTTGTTGGGGGTTACAAGGTATACTGTTCCTTGAAAAGTCAAAATGGTTTCTTTGGTGCTTTGAGAAGTAGTTTAACCTTTTCTATTATTATTATTATTATTATTATTATTATTATTGTTGTTGTTGTTGTTGTTGTTGTTGTCCAAAACTGAAGTGAAGAAAAGATTTGAGAGAAAGAGAGAAGAGAGGAGAGAGATTTGAGAGCATCAAAAGTTATTGGCGGTGCCAGCTTTTTAATATTTATATTAGGGCGACTGAACATAACATAAAGACAAGGGGAATTACAATGATACCCCTGTGACACTAATAGAAATAAAAAACATAAGAAAAAACACTCTTTAACCAGTCCTTTAACACTCCCCCTCAAGTTGGGAAAGAGATGTCAATCATGCCCAACTTGTCAATTGTCACAAATCATTGTGCCGCAAATGATGTAGCCCTTTTGTAAAGATGTCTGCAAGTTGATCTTCGGACTTGACATTAGGGAGTGCACACTTCCCCTTTGACAGCCTTTTCTCTGATAAAATGCTTGTCTACAGCAATATTTATGGCTGCCTTGTTGTCGCAATATAAAGTCATAGGTCCATCAACTGTAAATCCCAGTTCACTCAATAGATTTTTTAACCACATTATTTCAGCCACTCCATGAGACATTGCTCTATATTCAGCTTCAACACTAGATTTAGCCACCAGATTTTGCTTTTTGCTTCTCCAAGTCACTAGGTTTTCTCCCACAAAGGTACAATAGCCACTGGTAGACTTCTTATCATCCAGTGATCCTGCCCAATCTGCATTAGTATATACTTCAACCTTCAGATGCCCATGCTTTTGGAATAACAACCCTGCACCTGGGAATTTCTTAAGGTATCTGAGAATTCTTTCGGTTGCTTCAAGATGGGAGGTCTTAGGGGCATGCATGAATTGACTAAGAACACCCACAGCATAAGCAATGTCTGGCTGAGTCATGGAGAGATATAACAGTCTTCCTATAAGTCTCTAAAATTGCTTCACATCTTTGATAGATTCACCTGGGCAATCACTTAATTTGTGATTAGGATCAATAGGGGAATCAACTAGTTTCACCCCCAACTTTCTTGTATCCTGTAACAGATCTAGGACATACTTTCTTTCAGAAATGAAGATACCCTTTTGTGAGCGGGCAACTTCAATTCCAAGAAAGTATTTCAGAGGACCTAGATCTTTCACCTCAAACTAAGTAGCAAGAAATCCCTTCAATCTTTGATTTTCATCTTTCCAGTCACCAGTGATAACTATATCATCAACATACACTATTAGGGCTGCAATTTTTCCTTCCTCTCTTTTCATAAACAATGTATGGTCAGATTGGCATTGCTTGTAGCCCTTTTGTTGCACAGCTACTTGGAATCTATTGAACTAGGTTCTTGGTGACTGTTTTAGGCCATATAAAGATTTTTTTTAACCTGTAAACCTTTTGTTCATTATCTTGAGCCTGGAAACCAGGAAGTTGTACCATGTACACTTCTTCTTCTAGATCACCATTTAGAAATGCATTTTTGATGTCCAATTGGTGAAGGTCCCAGTCGAAATTAGCAGCTAAAGAGAAGAGAACCCTAATGGAGTTCATCTTAGCAACTGGTGCAAAAGTTTTTGCATAATCCACCCCATACACTTGAGTGAACCCTTTTTCCACTAGACGAGCTTTATACCTTTCCATTGTGCCATCAGCCCTATGTTTCACTGTAAATACCCATTTACATCCAACTGGTTATTTTCCCTTAGGAAGATCCACCAATTCCCATATACTATTTTTATGTAATGTATTAATCTCTTCCTTCATTGCATCTGTCCATTTAGGCACTGAGAGAGTTTCTGCAACATTCTTAGGAGTAGGTACACTGTCAATGGAAGAGAGGAATGTTCGAAAGGAAGGTGAAATGTTTTCATAGGAAACAAAGTGGGAAATGGGGTGCTTGGTGGTGCAAGATCTAACACCCTTCCGGAGAGCAATAGGAAGGTTAAGATCATCAGCACTTGAGGTGTCAATAGCAATCGGGTCAGAAATATCAATGGGAACTAAGGTACTTGAATGTGTAGGATTCGTCCCTGGAGAATGTGATGGCATTGGTGGTACAGCTTCTTGATGCTTCATAGCTCTTGAACTTGGTTGGCCTTTATGACGACGATAGAAAACACGAAAGGGAGGAGGATCACGTAGAGGAGGGAGCTGAATTTGAGGTAGAGGAGGGTTCTGAACATGTTTGTCCTCATGCCTACACTCCCCCTGAGGAGAAACAGGAAAGAAAGGTTCACTCTCAAAAAAGGTGACATCCATGGAAACATGATATTTCCGAGAAACGGGATCAAAGCATCGGTACCCCTTTTGATTTGAAGGGTATCCCAAGAATATGCAAGGAATAGCACGAGGATCTAATTTCCCACGAGTGGGTGACAGGTTTTGAACGAAGCAACGACAACCAAAAACACGRAGAGGAATAGACAAAAGAGGAGCCTTGGGAAACAGAAGTTGATGTGGGGCTTCGTACTCTAACCACCAAGAGGGCATACGGTTAATGAGATAGGCAGCACAAATGATAGCTTCAAGCCAAAAGCATTTGTGGACGTTCCTATGAATCAATAGTCCCCGAGCTACTTCAAGAAGATGGCGGTTCTTTCTTTTAGCAACACTATTTTGTTGTGGTGTTCGAGCACAGGAGCTACGATGGAGAGATCCATGTGAAGCAAAGGACTCCGTAAGGTCATTATGGAAGCATTCTTTGGCATTATCAGATTGGAAGATCTGGATTTTGGTTTGAAATTGGGTGAAAATCATTCTTTGATAGTCTTGGATAATTTTTGGTACTTCATCCCTAGTTCTCATGGGGTATACCCATGTATACTGGGAATAATCATCAATAAAGATAATGAAATACTTGTAGCCGCTTTCAGATGGTAGAGTGACTGGGCCCCAAACATCAGAGTGAACAATATGGAAAGGAAATTCAGATTTAGTATTCTTTGAAGAAAAATGAGTTCTACAATGTTTACTCAATCGACAAGTTTGACATATCAACTCTGATACCGACACTGACTTAAACAGCTCTTGAAACACAATCTTTAAGGAATCAAAAGGATAAATGACCAAGACGATTGTGCCATAAATAGGCTTGACTCTTACTAGATTGACTCTTAGACTCATTGACTGTAAGGCCAGCCTTATTCTCCAGCAAGTAGACACCATCCACCATACGCCCTCTACCAATCACCTTCCCTGAGTCCAAATCCTAGATTACACAATGAGAAGGGAAGAAGGTTACTGTACAATTTAAAGAATTGGTTATACTACTAACAGAAAACAAATTAATAGGGAATTGAGGAACATATAAAACATCAGAGAGTGTAGGACCAAATGGAAGATAAACAGTCCCTTGACCAGCTATGGTAGAGAATGAACCATCAGCCAGCCTGACTTTGTCTCTTCCAAAGAGAAGATGATAGGTCTGAAAGTAGGTAGACTTACCGGTCATATGTTTTGATGCTCCAGAATCAATTATCCAAGGAGAGTCAGAGGAATGAGATGATACATGGAGAGCTGTGGCAGAATTACCTGATGTAGACGCATATGAAGTTGATGGAGGGGGGGCACCCATTTGGCGAATTGCCCTACCATAAAGCTCTAAATGATCACGGAAGGAATTAATGATATCCTCCCTAGGGTCAGAACCAGTTGTGTATGTCTGAACTGTAGTAGTAGCAGGCTGGGTCTCCTGAGTGGCCATGGTTGCTGCAATGAATTTTCTTGGATCTTGCTGGCTTAGCCTCTTATGCAGATCTGAACCTTGTTTCTTACTCAATTCTTGAGTCCATTTCGGCTTCCCATGAGGGTCCCAACATATGTCACTATTCATGATAGCTAGTTTAGATCACACTAGAAGAGGTTGAATAGTCGAACTTATTTCCCTTTCACACACGGTGTTAACTTTGGGGGAAAAAAAATTGCACCAGGAATAATAAAAGAACCAGGCAGCCACCTTCTAGGTCAACTATAGTACTTCAATCACCACTTCACAAAGCTGCTGTCAGTTTTGACACCACTGCACTCCTTTCCCTTCTTTTAGAACTCAGTTCTTCAACAAAACCAGCTGTTGTTACCGAACTCACAGGTCATCACTAGCCTACCATAAATCTTGTACGGCTGTTGTAGCAGTATGTACAGGTCCTCTCTTGACCTACAAATCAAGTGTGGCTGTTGTTGCAGCATATATAGGTCATCCCCTGACCTACAACTTCACCAAAAGGCTGCTGTCGCAGCATATAAAGGTCATCACCAACCTACAGTTTGTTACAGGGATCAGCAGATCCCACAAAAAAGGAAAGAGGAGGGACTGTTCGCCTCACATTGACAGACTAAACCTATTACAGGTTCTGTTATGGCACACGACCAGAAAAAAAAAAAAAAAAAAAAAAAAAAAGAGAAAGGGAGAGAGAGTACTTCAGTCTGATCTGAATCAGGATCTAGATCTGGTGAAGGCAGAAAAAGGTTTGCTCGATCTCTTCTTTCAGATCTAACAGTCCTGCTCTGATACCATCTTGTCCAAAACTGAAGTGAAGAAAAGATAGAGGAGAGAAAGAGAGAAGAGAGGAGAGAGATTTGAGAGCATCAAAAGTTGCTGGCGGCACCAGCTTTTTAATATTTATATTAGGGCGACTGAACATAACATAAAGACAAGGGGAATTACAATAATACCCCTGCGACACTAATAGAAATAAAAAACACTCTTTAACCAGTCTTTTAACAATTATTATTATTATTATTATTATTATTATTATTATTATATGGTTATGTTTATGTTTATGTTTATGTTTATGTTTATGTTTAT